CAAAACAGTTCGTCGCTTGGAAGGCCCGGTTTCTGCCTCTCATTGGGAATTAAATATCTTGCTGTATTAAACTCTCTGCTTTGTCTTGTGCAGGTGTTGGCTTTTGGAAAGACGCATGGTGTGACTTTTAACATATTTCTCTTTATTTATTTTTTTTAATATTATTGTTATTCCGCTTGTTTTGGCAGAGGTTTTCGCAGTTCTCTGCTTTAAAGGCTTCTTGTTTGGAACCGGTGTTTGTAACACGTGGATCTGTTACTTGCAGAAATACTTTGTTTAAAACAAGCAGCATTTTTACAGTTCAGTGTGCAACAAAGAAGCAATTTCAAAACCTTTGTACTGCAGAATTTAGGTCATTGTTGGCTTTTTTTTCCAGAAAATTCTGCATTTTGTCAATTTGGACAGGAACATTGATAGTACCAATGAATGAAAAGCAGCTTCCTGTACCTCCCAAATCACTGAATGTTTTTCTCACTGTGGCTTTTTTTTGCTGCTTTAGTCGAGGAGGGGTAAATTTCCACGATAACACTGTCTCAGCTATGAGATAGCCATCATAGTATGAGCCCTGTAATCCAGACAAACAGAAAGAACCAAACTGTCTTCATAGTTTGGAATCTTTCAGCAGAGCAGTGTGCAGAAACCTGCATGCAAAAGTTGTCCAAAACACTCATGATGCATCCAGCAATACGATACCTGGCTGCATTCTGCAGTACCATATGTCACTTCTCCCCAGTGGCATCTGGGCTACGAAAGGTTAGCACAGTGTCAGGAGAAGCTTGTTTCTCTTTTTTTTTTTGTACTGAGATCTTTTGAGAAAGTGCAATGATGTGCCCTTATCTCTGCAAGTTAACAATCTGCGTAAGTGCATTTATTGCTTGGAACAGCTCTCTGTCTCTGTAGGAACTGAAATCTAGTGAAGCTGTGTATCTGTTTGTTGTTTTGCAGCAGGCCTGGCCTGGGGGAACCCAGCAGATACTGCTTCCTTCCACCTGGCAGCAGCTCCCAGGGGTTGCCTTGCACAATTCTGTTCAGCCAGCAGCTGTGATTCCAGAGACCATTGGCAGCAGCCAGCAGTTGGCCGACTGGAGGTAGGGACTACATGGGGTTCAGTCCCATGTGCTGCACTGCACAGGATTTCTCCCTCCCCTTGAAAATCGTGGAGGGGCTCAGTGCAGCTGTGCCTGCACTGCAGTTCCTGCAGTGTTGTCATGGGATTTGGGTCTTTTTTTGTTTTTTCCTGTGCCAGGAATGCACATTCCCATGGAAATCAGTACAGCACCCTCATGCAGCAGCCATCGTTACTGACCAACCACGTGACGTTGGCTGCAGCACAGCCTCTGAATGTTGGAGTTGCTCATGTTGTTAGGCAGCAGCAAAGCAGCAATGTTCCAGCAAAGAAGAACAAGCAGCCAGCACCAAGCACAGCCAAGTAAGGCTTCCAGCTTTGTAGAGACTGTGGGTGTGTTGTGCAGGTTGCTTTTGTGGTGTGAAAAACTCTTCTTACCATCACAGAATTACTGTCTGTGTAACTTTTTAATGTGCTACAGTTGCTTTTAAGTATTTCTTGGATAAAGTGATCTAAGTTTCAGTGAGAGTGCAAGGACTGTGGTTGACCAAGTGCTTTACTGTATGGGTCAGAGTGAGACTTCATGCTTCAGAGTGTATTGGTGCCATAGCATGCAACTGGCAGAACAGGCAGGTGAATGACAAGGGGTGGCACAGAAGAATCAGGTCCTGATCAGAGCATTCCTGAGTGCATTGGTCCCTTCTGGGATGCATTCCATGGTGCTTTCCTGTATGAGTGTCTGCACTGAGATGCTCTTTGGGTTTTTCTTTTTGTACTGTGCTCCATCCTGCTGGAGGCTGACCGTTCTTAACGCTGGTGTTGATTTGTTCTGGCCTGCTGACATGCAGCTGAATACTGCTTTGCTTTTCCTTCAGATCCAGCTCCACTCTAGAAACTGTGCCCACTCAAGTTTACTCTCTCATTGGGAGCAGTCCTCTGCGTTCCACATCCTCCTCCTCCAACGTGCTCGTCCCAGTGCAGGAGCAGCACCAGCCCATTGTGATCCCAGACACTCCAAGTCCTCCCGTCAGCGTCATCACCATTCGCAGTGACACTGATGAGGAAGAGGACAGCAAATACAAACCTGCCAGGTAGGAAGTTCATTTAGGTAATTAGTACTGATAGGTCCTGAGCTGAGCCCAAACATCAGGAAGAGCAGAGACAGCTACATGCAAAACCCCAGCTTAGCTTAGAACCACTGCATAAGACAGAAAATGCTGCATCATGTTCACTGCACTGTTTGTCTCTAATTAACCAGATCACATATGACTAGGGGGGGGTATGAGAAGGGGAGATGTCTTGTAGGAAAAGCTAGAATGTTTCCTGTTTGTCTTTTTTCCCTGCAGTTTGGGTATGAAGCAGAGATCCAATGTCATCAGCTACGTTACTGTTAATGACTCCCCTGATTCCGACTCCTCCCTGAACAGCCCCTATGCCACAGACCCACTTTCTTCTCTCAGGAGTACAGGTGGTGCCCTGGAGCTGCCAAGCAGAGGAGCAGCTGACAGCTCCAACTCTCGGACTATCATTGTGCCACCATTGAAAACACAGCTCAATGACTGCATTGTAGCTACCCAAGCTTCAGGTAGATATGCTCTCGTAGCTCATTGTGCTCAGTGGTTTTTTCCAGGGCTTAGATGTTGGGCTTGGTTGCTGTCTCATTCCTGACAGCTTTGTCCTTGCAGTTTTTAACTGTCTGCTTTAGGTGTGATGTTCTGAGAATGCAAGCCTCGGTCTGTTTTTAGTGTCATTGATACATTTACCTTTCATGTATATTTGGCTGCATTTATTTAGAAAAGTCTTTTCTTGTGCAATCAAATTTTAAGTTGTAATTGAAGAAATAGCCCTATTACAAAAGTAGGAGCTATGTTCTTCAGTTACTAAGCTGGTTGGCATAGTGCATGCATGCAGTGTGAGAAGGAAAAAGGGATTAAACTGATGAAATCTTTCAGGCATCCTGAGCAGCACCAGTAAGACCAAGCCTGTGGCCTCTGTGAGCGGGCAGTCATCAGGATGCTGTATAACACCAACTGGGTACCGACCTCACCGCGTGGTAACAAACGGTGTGCAGCCTCTCAATCTCAGCCAGGTAAGCACTGTGTGATGTTTCCTGGCCATCACCTGTCCTGCTGGGACGTGGGTGTTAATGGAGAGGCTCTGGCTGAACCTCTCATTGCTCCCCGAGGTTACTTGTTGACTTTTTTTCCTTCTTCTCCCTGCAGAACCAGCAAACTACAGTGCTGGCCTCACAGGAGAGAAGCGGAAATGCAGTCCCACGTAGGCAGCAAGCTTATGTGGCACCCCTCACATCAACTATTTCTCAGGCTCCCTACACGTTTCAACACAGCAGCCCAGTGCATCCCCACCTGGCAGCGGCGACTGCAAATGCACACCTGTCCAGCCAGCCACATATGTACACTTATGCTCCAACTACTGCTGCAACGTTGGGCTCCACCACCTCCATCGCCCATCTCTTCTCCCCTCAGGGCTCCTCACGGCACACCCAGTACGCTGCCCACCCCAGCACACTTGTCCACCAGGTCCCTGTGAGTGTTGGTCCGAGTCTGCTGACTTCTGCAAATGTTCCACCTGCCCAGTACCAACACCAGTTTGCTCCCCAGTCCTATATTGGTGCTTCCAGAGGATCTGCTATTTACACTGGATATCCGCTGAGCCCTACAAAGATCAACCAGTACTCATACTTATAGTTCTTGGTAGAGCAATTCCTGTCCTGCAACAGGCTGGAGCGATTGGAGAAAGATTTCAGGTGAATCTTTACCTGGTAATGACTGCCTGGTTTTTGTTTCTCCCTTCTCTGGTTGTATGTTGTTCAAAAATGTCTCTAGTGAGTTCAGTCACTAACCGAGCAGCATGCTTTGTTACCAGTGCAAGGGTCACTAATTAAGTTTTTAAAATTTTACTTACTTTTTATAGATGCTTTTAAAAATTCATGGTCACATTTATTTAAAATTGTTCTGTTGTGCTAATGGAAAGAGGAGGGAAGATCAGCGTCTCGGAAGAAGATCCTGATGATTTTTTTAACTTGTATAATTTAAACAAGAAGATCAGTAGATAATTTTTCAGCAGCTTGCACAGATCCATATTGCCACTAAAAATGTAATGCACATTTATCTCTTTGTGTTGCCAGGGCAGTTCTAACATCCAGTTGAACGTTTTAACTTTTGTTCCCTATTTCACTTTAACAACTTGCTGGTTTTGAAAAGCCATTACATCTCTTTGTGTTTCTGTCCAAGGTTTTGTTTACATCTCTGCTTTGTTTGAAGTGCTGGGAGGGGCAGCTGCCTTGTCCTGGCCACATCATATATTCAGGAATCAACAAGAACTCAACAAGAACCCTGGAATCTCTTTTGTTTTCCTGAAAATTCCTTGTTTCCATAACACAGCTGAATTATTACTGCATTCATTGGAGAATTCCTTAAGGTTTTTCTAACAGTTTTTCATGTCTCACTGTGTAACAGAACTCAACACCTTAATGAGGATGCTGTAATGTTCAGTTAAGAATGAATTGTGCCACACTGCTCTAACATTTGCATTCTGCAGCGTTAGGTGCTGGCCCAATAACAGAGCTGGATGCCTTCACAGAAGCGCAGGGCTTTTTGGTTCTGGTTTTTTTTTTTCTTTCTTTTTTTTTCCTTAACATTTTTCTTTACGTGATTCATTTATGAGGGAGTTGAACAATTTGAAATACGATGAAACATCACTGTATTGGTGTGTACAGCTTTTTATACTCCTGTGACCATATCCTCCTGGATATGCCAACAGCTTCCTTAAAGCGCTCTTATTAAGACTTGTATACAGTACGTGCATGTAGGAATTGCAAAAAAAAAGAGGAAAAAAAAAAGAGGAAAAAAAAGAAAAGGAGAAAAAAAAAAAATCCAGATTTTAAAGTTTATTACTGAATTTAAAACTATTTTAGAAGTTTTGTATTGGTGGTGTTTTAATATTTTACAGAAAATGAAATATGTACATATTGATTAGAAAAATATAACAAGCAAAACTTCCTGCTAACCCCAAACGTTCTGTCTTTGTAATCAAGATGTGTAGTGATGATACTTGAACTCTGTACTTAGTGTTTGTCTGATTCTTAAAACGTCCCTGGGGATGGAGTTTGATGTATCCTTTGTATTTAAACCAAAATGAATTGATTCGTGTCGGAATGTATGTGATATAATGCAATGGTTAGAGCTCATCACTGTAGCACTGAGAGAGGAGTAGAGCTTCACGAGAGAAAAGGATACTTTCTGATTTGTTTTGCACAGGTATGTGTGATGAAGAGTTGTTTGGTGTGTCCCCTTATTGTAGTGCCTTAAATGATGATGTAGTGTGAATAGAGTTTACAGTGAGCTTGCCTTATGAGGGACCAGCAAGCCCCCGTCGAATTGAAGCAATTCACTACGCTTCCCACAGCAAGAACAGCAGTCTGTTGCATAGGTGCATTGTTCTCAGTTTTAATGCTGTCATAAAAAGCAACATTTTTGTTGGAGTGAAGCGATGTTCCCTTACAGCTGTTCCTGGAAATGGCACATGTCCTGTTAGCTGTCTGTCGGTGCATTTCGAATAGGGTAGTGCTGGGAATGCATTGGAATGTTTAGTCTCATATTGCAGAAGTGATTAAATACGTGCAATCACTTTTTATTAGATTAGTATGGCGTTACCTTCCCCCACGTTAATAGTAGACATTTCCTGTAAAGTATTGCTAGCTTGGTGATAGGATATTTATACCAAAGAGAGCCTGCTGTAAAGCACATAATACCATTAAGAAGTTTTCTAATGCTGCTGCTAATGTGGAGTTGTTGGGAAGGTGTCAGCTGTATGCTAGTTAGTGTGCAGAGGAAATACAACCATGCTTTGTTTCCTTGGGTCCCTCGTGCCAGGAATTATTGCTCATCTCCAGTACACAGACCAGGACTGGCCGGGTGGCAGCCAGGCTGGCTCGGGCAGCAGAGTTACGCAGCAATAAGAGGTTTTGGTAACCTTGAATCCCAGTTCTAGCCCGTCCCAGTGGAAGATGGTCCGGTTCTCTGATGTGAGAAGTGCAAAATTAACTTCTGAAATTCCATGTATTTGATAGAAGGAAGTCTGGGCTGAGCTGACGTTGAGGTTTGGTGCCTCTTTCAGCAGAGGGCTGAAGGACTTCGGAACTGGACGGTAGCATTAGTGATGTTGTTGTTTGGTGTGTTTGTGGTCAGAGCACTTCTGTAGCTGTGAGGATACCCAATGGATTGTGCTGTTTTACATCATGGGTGTAAACAACGCTCTTTGTTGCTGTAAGCACTTTCTTGTTTCCATATTACGTTGCTTGTTTGCAGTACTTCCCTTCAGATACCTCCTGGGTACAGAGTTGTGCCTTTCCATCAAAGGCAAAACAAGTTCCAGTTCCCGTGTCTCAGAAAACCTTATGTCTTGTACATAAATAGGCAATGTTATGTACGAGGTCCAAATTGGAAGTAAATAAATATATAAATAAACACCAGCAGCAAAATGTGCTGGGAATTTGGGTGAGACCCTCCCAACCCCCCCAGAAAGTAGATGAAAATGACCATTAAAACGAATGTATTCACAGAGCACGGTAACACCTCTTGCACTGTCCGTGTTTCCAAAAGCATTGGAACAAAGAGGACGAGATGGGAATGAGATTAGAAGGATGAAACCTGCTCTGTTACGACAGGTCTCTTTCCCTGAGGCTCCTCTTGTGACAGACACACAGTGTGAGGCAGATGGACGGAGCTGCTCCTGCAGCTTCCCATCCCGGTGTGCTGCTCTGAGCCCAGGAAGGAGCTGCATCCCTCCTGCCCACGCACACCCAGCTTTCCCATTCGTTTCAATAACCAGCTGTCCTCATTTCAGAGCTGCTACACAGATTCCGCAAATCAATGCTCTCCGGATCGAAATTGGAGTCCTTTTGAAATTTCTTTTAAACCCATTTTGGGATTCACCATTGGAATTTTGGGTAACCCACCCGGATCCCTCTGTGATCCACGAACTGAAATCAGAGTTGTTCCTATGGGCAATCTGCACTCACAGCTGTGACAGCCACTGCAGAGGCAACTCCTGAGCCTCCCTGCTTAGCACCTAATTGATGGGATGCAGTAATTAACCTCTGACTCAGCGATTTCTTTTAGTACATTAAACTAAATTGCTTCTAAATGACAGGATTGGCACAGCCCTGCTTTCTTTTATTTAAAGTTCTGAATGGTGCCGCATGTCCACATGGTTGTTTGTTGCTAAACTTTATATAAATGTGTGATTTCAGATTCAGCTTGGAATATATCTATCTCACTACATGTAGCAGTACATTATATGTAACGTTAGTATTTCTGCTTGGATCCTTGATATTGCAATGGAATTCCTACTTTACTAAATGTATTTGATATGCTAGTTACTGTGTACAATTTACCTTTCTTTTCTGGTTGTGCTCTTCCTTTTTACAAGCCGGTAGGTGCAGGTAGTTCCTGACATTACTGATCTATGTTTGTATTGCTGATGTACTTAGGGGGTATGTAAAAATCATTTTAACAAAAGAAATAGCTATTTAAAAATTTAATACTAACTATATGGGAGAAGGGTCCATTGTGAAAACATAGTTTATCTTTGGATTCAATGTTTGTCTTTGGTTTTACAAAGTAGCTTGTATTTTAAGTATTTTCTACATAATATGGTAAAGATGTAGAACAATTGCAATGCATCAATAAAAAGGGTTAATTTTCTGTACTCGATCCCTGGGGTCTCTCGGTCTCTCGGAGGGTCGGGGCTGCGGAGCCGCCGGAGTTAAAGCGCACTGGAAGCTCCCGGGGCCGCCTCTCGTCCCATCTGGATTCAATCAGGGCCGCCAGCATTCCTGAGCGCTGAGCTGCTTCCGCGCTGCCGCACTCCGGCGGCCATGGGGCCCTGGCGCTGCCTGCTCCTCCTGCCGCTCCTCGCCGCGGCACAGCAGCAGCAGTTCATGGAGTACGTGGAGCGGCGGCTGGTGATGCTGGAGGTACGGGCGGGGGGCGGCGGGGCGATGCGGGGCGGGACGGGGATGCGGGAGCGGGGCGCGCGGCACGGAACCCACCGTCACCCCTCGGCCGCTACAGGAGAGGATCGCGCAGTGGCACGATCAGAGCAGCCGGTACTCCACGGAGCTGCGGGACTTCAAGAACCAGGTGCTGGGCATGCTGGAGACGGCGGAGAAGGAACGCGAGGCTCTGCGGACCGAGGCGGAGAGCGCGGCGGCGCGGGTGGACCGCCTGGAGCGAGAGGTGGATTACCTGGAAACGCAGAACCCCGCACCGCCCTGCGTGGAGGTGGACGAAGTGCTGACGGAGAAGCAGGCGGCCACGGCCAAGCAGAGGAAGAACGAGAAGTACAGCAAAGTGACGGGTGAGGGCCGCCGGCTGCTGCCGCGGGGTGAGCGGGCTGCCCGGAGCTCCGGCTCTGCAGCTGCATCCCGGGCAGAGCCGTGGCGTGGGGGTGGGGATGGGGGTCACCCCATAGGGGCTTCTGTGTGCCGCTGGGCACGGCAGCAATGCTGACCGCGGGCAGTGCAGTGCATCTCCAGGGAGCTGCTGGGGTGGGGGTGCCACAGCGCTGCGGTGACGCGGGGGGGTGGGAGCGGCCCTCGGGCTCTGACCGCTGCCCTCCCATCCCCCCCTCTCACAGACTGCAGTGACACCATTGCAAGTGTCAGAGCCATGAAGATCCTGAAGCGTTTCGGCAGCGCTGTGGGGCTCTGGACCAAAGATGCTGCAGGGAACTCCGAGAAGATTTACGTCTTCGATGGCAGCGCCAACGACACGGTGTTCGTCTTCCCCCGCATGCGGGAGTTCACGCTCTTCTCGGCCACGCGCCGCGCAGCCCGCATCAAGCTGCCCTACCCCTGGCTGGGCACCGGGCACCTGGTCTATGGAGGATACCTCTACTACATCCGCCAGCAGGGCCCCTTCCAGGTGATCAAGTTTGACCTGGCCAACAAGACGGTGGTGGACAGCTCGGTGTTCCCGGCAGAGGAGCAGATCCCCGTCTTCGGGCTCTCCCCCTTCACCTACATCGAGCTGGCGGCGGATGAAGAAGGGCTGTGGGCCATCTACGCCACCAAGGAAAACGAGAAGAACATCTGCCTGGCTAAGCTGGACCCCGACTCGCTGGACATCGAGCAGATGTGGGACACGCCGTGCCCGCGGGAGAACGCCGAGGGCGCCTTCGTGGTGTGCGGGGCTCTGCACGTGGCCTACAACACCCGCCTGCCCAGCCGCTCCCGCGTGCAGTGCGTCTTCGACGTCAGCGGGACGCTGCCCCCCGAGGAGGCTTCCCTCGTGTACTTCCCCAAACGCTACGGCTCCCATTCCAGCATGAAGTACAGCCCCCGCGAGAGGCAGATCTACGCCTGGGACGACGGCTACCAGATCATCTACCGCATGGAGATGAAGAAGAAGCTGGAGGTCTGAAGGGCCACTGCAAAAGCCTGGACTGATGAAATGAGGTTTTCTATTCTGTGATGCAATGAATAAATGCTATGCAGCACGCTGCAGCCGCCTGCTTGGGGGGAGTGCGGGGGGCTGGGGGCTGCAGCAGTGAGCCCTATGCTGCACTATGTCTTTCCTGGAGGATTCCTGAAGCTGTGAATGTGGGCTCTGGGCTGCGGGCTGGGCAGAGGTTGGGCTGGAGTTCGGCAGCTTCTGCTGCAGTGAGAGCACTTCTGGGCCTGGCTGGGGCATGCCATGAACAAAGCTGCAAGCAAACAGCACAATCCCTTAATCCAAAAGGACAACTGGAGGTTTTGCTCGCATGCTGGCGAGGCCTCCAGCCAGCAGGCACCAGATGTTCCTCATTTTCTCAGTTCACGTCTAACAAAGCACAGTTGTCTTCCCTTTGCAGTCACAGTGTTGCAGACCCTTTCTGTAGGGCCTCGTTCCCTGAGTCCCCATTCCATACGCTGCCATGTGGTGGAATGCACTGATTCAGGGCAGTGCATTCCACATGGCAATGCCTGAGACCCAGGGGGTGGGGGCAGCTGGGAACAGCAGCCACGTGTACTGGGGGGGAACTGCCCCAGAAGGGCCCTGAGCATGAGGATGTGGCCTCAGCAGCCCCAGCTGGAAGCAGAAAAATAACAGATTCTCATGCACTGCCACATGCACCTCTCCCCTGGGAGATGGAGGGTTGGGCTGGAGATGACACCGATCCTCCACAACCACACCACAGTTCATTCCTGTCCCAATTCCTCCAGATGCCTGAGGATGCAGAGGTGGAATTTAGGATATCTGTGTGTCACGGAGCGTGTTCTGTCCACAACAGAAATCAGCTCTGGAGACAAATGCTTGTGCAAAGCCTGAGCTGCTCTGGCCATTGAGGATCAGCCCTGCTGTGGGGCTGCAGCTGGGGGTGGGTCTGGCCCTGAGGTTCCCCCTGCAGCCTGCGGGATGCTGAGCTGCCACTCAGAGCTGACCCGATAGCTACCCAGAGCTCTTCTGTATGCTAATTAAATATCTTCTGCTTCCTTCAGAAAAATGTTTAAATACACACTTTGAATGAGTGTAATTGGATGGTGCAGAAAGTTCAACGCAGTGCAAGTCAAGCGGAGAAATTATCCAAGGGTGAAAAGCTAGGTGAACTGCCAAGTTAATTTATAGCCCTTCTCACAATCAATAACTGCAGTAACAAATGCAATTTTCAGAAGTTGTGCAGTTGTAAATAATGACAGGGCATGGTGGGGATGGTGCTGATGGGCTGACTGGGTGATCCTGGAGGTCTTCTCCAACCATAATGATTCTGTGGTTCCATCCTAATGATTTCTTTAGCACGAATTAGAGCTGATGGAGCAGCGATGGTTCTACACCAGAAATCACCTTATAACCTGGCACAGCGGTCCTGCAGTGCCCATCTGGGAGGATGCTTTGGTGGCCGTGGCTGCCGGGTTGTGCTGCAGCCACAAACTCCACACTGCAGCGCTCAGCTGGGCTCACCCAGTACCTGTGTGCTGAGATGGGTTTGTCTAAACACTTTGGGAACGAGAGGCGAAATGAAAAAATGACTGCAGAGCCTGAATGGCTTACAAAATGCAGCACTTACCTGGCGCTCCACGTCTCCGGAGTGCTTCAAGGAGCATCAACAAATGAATCCAGCATTGCTCAGACAGACATCGCACCCAATCCCTATGAGGGTCCCTCTGCTCCTGGCACCCAGAGCCCCCAGCTCTGCAAGGGCAGTGCTGGGCAGTGGCATTACCCTGCTGTGGTGGTGGGGATGGGAGATTCATTGCTGTGCCCTCACATCCCTGCTCTCCTCGACTCCGCAGCTCCTCGTGCCTTAATTGCCAAATATTTTATCTCTTTAAAGAAGCCTCTGTGTAAGTAATAATCCCTTTCATCTCTCTCCTCTTAAAAAATGCTTCCCTTTGGAAGGCAATCTGATAAAGTAAATTGAGAAGTTAAAGTGAGGATGGAGAAAGCAAGATCTCCCGTGGCTAATTCCTTTCTCTGTCTCATTCTTGAGCCTTTTCTGTCTCATCCTCAGCCTTTTTTTCTTGCTCTTTTCCAGCTCATGAGAGCTCTTGATGGTGTGAAATGATTCTGCAATAGGAAACTAAAATTAAAAGTGGGCAACTCAGAGGAGCGTGTTACAAAGATGCCATTGTGCTGCAGCAGGAAGGGGAACAACCTCCCCATCTGACGCCCTCCTAATGGCTGCCTGGCACGTGTAACCACAGCTCTCAGATCCCAGAGGTGTTTCTGCCCATGCAACGCCTGCCAGAGGCTGATCCACACATGGGAGGGATGCTGCAGCCGGGGGGGATCCGGGGGGATGTGGGAGGGAAATGAAGTGGCAGCAGCTGCTTGTGGTGATGTGCAATAAGCAAAACCGGGTTGAAAATCCAATCTTTGGATTCAGAGGTCGCAGCCCGGGGAGCTGCGTTTGCAGTGCATCTTTCCAGACTTTCCTAGACAGTTTCAGGCTCTAATAGAGCTTGCTGTCATTTCAGTACTTTGATCACCCCACATATGTCGCTCCCGGCCATGCTGTCAGATTTGGGGCTGTGAGGGAGGCTGTGAGGGGGGCCCATAGGCAGTCGCCTGTCCCAAGGGCTTTGTGCATCCTCAGCTGTAGGGAATAAGTGTTTTAATGGCAGTCAGCTCTGTTCTGACATCTCACCTCAGGCCAAGGAAACCAAACAGGCCGCAGTGCTCAGGCCTGGCCCAGTCTGAAGGCAGCGCAGTGCGGCCGTCCCAGCTCTTATCCTGCCCAGGGCACTGCTTGGGCACAGAGGGGAAGGGCCTGTCGGGTTTTAGCTCCCAGAGACACCCTATAGCCAAATAAGGCCCTAACCAGGCTCAGCCCCTGGCTGTGCTGTGCCCGTGGGGCCGTTTTTGCTCACACACTCTATGGGGACGTGGCAGCACGTGGCCTGCTGCTGCCAAACGCTTTGCTCTGGAGACCACCTTGGTTCGTGCTCGTCTCACACACAATTCCACATCTCAGAAAGAAGCTTTGAGTTTTAACTTCTGCGGGTTTATGGCAGAAAATCATGAAAACGGGCCCTGCAGTGCCAGGTGGGCTCAGAGACCCCCACTCCCCACCTGGGCTCCCACTGAGATCTCTGCAGTTGTTGCTGATGCTGTGCTTGCCCTCATCTTGGCTTTGGGGCAGACTGTTTCCATGGCAACGGAATATGCTGTAGGATTTGCATTGAGCCATTCATGCCACCGTGCTTTATTGGCTTTAATGAACTGCCATCCTCACAGCAGCCGACACGGGGTCTTTGAAATGGATGTGCTATAAATTCCCTACTTTTAATTACAGCTGTCATGAGAGCATCGTATACACAATTGCATTTGCGTGGCTGTACTAAAAACATATAAAATAGGGAAAAGAACCGAAAAGCAAAGCATTTCTTGAGCATGCAATGGCATTGCCACTGGCTGCAGCAGTGCTGGTGACCAAGCAAAGCCATTGGGGACCAAAGCCTGTTCTCCCAGGCTCACCTGCAGCACTGATCTCTGCGTTATCTTCTTCTGAAAAATGAAGGATTGATCTCTTTTTTCTTTTTTTTCCCCCTGTGGAGTCATGAAGAAGGTAAACACCATCACAAAAAGAAAAGCTGTGACCCTGTGCCCTGTGCCCTGGGTCCCTGCCAGCCCTACAGGACGTTCCCCCCGTGTGCCTCAGCTGTGCAAGCAGAGATCAGAGGCTGAAGACGCTGTGTTTGCATCTGGGAATGATGACTTCATAGTAACAACAGAGCTGCCGGGCCCCAGAGGTCACTCTGCACTGATGTGTGCAGCCCTGATGCTGGAAGAAATGATCAATGCCCCATCGAGAAAACCTCTGGCAAAATGAGAAGCCCAGAGCTGAGATGAGAGAGATGAGTAAGATGGCAAACAACAAAAAGTAGAAAAAAAGAAGAAAGGAAAGAGAAGAGAGGTAAGCCAAGCTTCTCTCAAACAAGCTGGAGTCACTGATGGGCTGTGCAGAGCTCCTCAGCCCCATGTCTGTGCCCCTGTCATGGGCAGTCCAGCACTGTGTCACCCACCACTAAAGCAGCAATAATTACACATCAGGCCTTGCTGCAGTGCCTCTTACTTTTCCTGCAAGCCTCTCATTGTTCTGCAAAGCTGGAGACCACGAGACAGAAACCAAATAAAAAAAGAGCATTTAAGGAACATGTGGGAGTGCTATTTTGTGTTTACTTTGTTTGTGTTACTCAAAATAAAGCTTTCCCTTGCGGCTGCTTGCAGACGTTGCACACTGACCAATGCTGCCATGTGAGTGCTGCCATCCCCAGCCCACACTCCATCACCTGTGTGTGCTCACCCCTCCTGCGATGGAGGTGGTCCTCCACACCCATCAACTCCTCAGTGGGTTATTATCATACAATTAAGAGAAGCTCTGAAAAAGAGAAGGAGCAATAAAGGCAGCTTTAATTCTGGGGTGTCGCCTGTGCCAGCTTCAGCTGTCCTCGGAGTTATAATCCTGTAGATGAAAGGGAAATATCTGCACTTGCACAGCGTGTCTACTTTCCATTGGTGTGACCAATCTTCTTGAGGCCGGTGACGCGCACACAATGCTTTGATTATCCCCTCCTCGGGGACAAGGCCAAATCTCAGCACTGAAAAGCAAAATGCAGGGCTTTGAGCCACCGAAGCGCGGGCGTTTTCACCGGCTGACATCCCGTTCTGCAGTGCCAGTCAGCACCGAGCAGAAATTGATTATCTGTGCGAAGCAATGATTAAAAATAGAAGCTCTGTGTCAAACCCCACGCATGTTTTGACTAAATCCAAGATAACAAGAAGAATGGATGAAAGACGGAGATTATACGGAGAGCACGGAAAACTGAGAGGCTGGGATTAAAGAAGAAAAAATACATGCGTGGGTTAATGCAGTTAATGAGTGCTGAGTGCCATCCTGGTGCCCAGCTGGGATCGCAGCAGCTCGCTCAGGGCTCAGCTGCCACAATGCATTGGTGGTACGGTGACTTTGGTCTGCATGAGGCCACCTCTCATTGGTGATGCTGAGCACTTGAAGGT